AATAAATTTTGTTTACACGGGTAAGAGCTTAGAAGTTAAGCCTTTAATTAGACAACTATACTATTACCTGGCTCTATTCAATCTATAAAGAGGCTTAGTTATAAATATTAGTTCAAATAATAGTTGTATAGCATGTCAAATAACAGATTGAATAACTAATTGAATGTCTGATTGAATGGCTGATCGAATGACATAATTTGATATTTTAAATGGTAGTCGAATTGAATATCAAATGAATTGACATGTTGAATAGCAGTTGAATATTGTCATTCAACATGTCAAATTTTTTAAAATTTACTAGTGAAATCCTTTAATATTTGTCCAGATTTTGATATGAAATATGTGCAATCGTATATTTTAAATTATACCAGATCTTATGGAAATAAACTTAACCAAGTATTCGATAATGAAAGATTGTTTGATAATTTATCTACTATAAAACATAGTGAGACACCATTTCAATGATCATTACGAGTAAGAATTCCATTACAGAATTTAATAAATGAGAGAAAATTTAGCTTTTATCACCGATACGCTCTATTCTTATCATTTGGTCAAGATAAATTCGTTAATTCTGATTATCGTAGACTGAGAATTCATAAAAGTCATATGGCTATATGTTTCGGTTGCTAGCAATTGATTCAAGTCAATGATATGAAACTGAAGAAAGTATATACTTCTGCTATTTATAGATACATTAAAAAAGTTGAACCAGTAGATTTGATGCAATATCACTAAGATAATGAGTGTAGCAAATCAAAAACTAAAAATGGTTCAGCAAGGATTATACAAAGTGTTTGGAGACGATTCAAAGAAAGGGAGCCATCAAATGCACGACTTGTCTGGTTGAGTTTACCAAATGATAATATTCCAGATGATAAGAAATTTCTAGACCTAACTTCTTGTAAAGTGAAAAATCCTCAAACTCGAGATCAGTTCAATCTGTGAAATGTTAAGAAAATTGCAATGTATAGGAGATATAACTCTAATATAGTCAGCTATTTTTAGTGTTCCTATTGAACCTAGGTTCAAAGTTCATGAACATGTTCAAAGTTTTGAATAAAGAAAAAAGCATATAA